TATTGTAATGCGTGAAATTGCAGTAGTAATGTAATATATTTCAAATAGACTTCCAAACAATTTTACTTTAGAATATGATAAACCCTGTACTGTTATTTGGGACCGATTCCACTTAAGTGTTTCAGGTCAACTACAAAATACGATGATAGGTGGGAGAAATTCTCGAGTAAAAAAACAATTGGGGGGGGGGGGGTGAATTCACAGGATAAAATTTCGTAATTTTTCGCTGACATTAAAATTTGACTTATGCTATTATTGTAAGTATATTGAGGTGTGACGTGTTTGCCATTCTGAACTCATAAAGGTCGCGTCGCAATTAGTATTATCACCTATGATTACACACCTATCTAGCTCAAGTAATTGCGGTTCATCACCATCATTTATTAGAAAGGAAAAAAATAGCCATATCCATGGTGTAAAATGGAAATAATTTTATTTACACACTGGGACACTGCCCCCTCTTCTTCTTTTTACCAACACCTAGCTCATCTCTCCCCGTCAAGTTCCGCCTTCACTGCACCTCCCCGCCCTGTCCCTCACACTCACCTCCCTGCTCTGCCCCTTCCCGTTCATTTCTATTCCTGCCTTGACCAGCCTCATACTCCCTCCAGCCTGCCTCTCCTCCTTGCCCGAACTGCTGCTCCAATATCTCTAAATACGTAAATACATTGCGGGTTGCATTAATTCAAATTAAACCAAATTTTCGAAAACAATCTAATTTAAAGTATAAATGCAAATAGTGAACCACTCACTCATATATATTCGTGCAAAATTGTATTTATATTACTCTACACTTTGTAGAGTTCGCCTGAAACACACATACGTCGTATACCGTATATCACGATTACAAATGAGAAATAATAAGAATATTACAAGTATTTATAGTGATGATTATTCTTTGTTACGTCTTCAAATAAATCCAAATAACCACATACTTGTAATTTTCATGAATTATTAATAATAAGTTTGTTAAATCGTAGTTGAAGTTAGCTCTTCCGAGACATACAATGTTGCTCGAGAAACTGAACTGAATCGAGAACCGATTACAGACGTAAAGGAAACAAAAACTGGATTGAGGTGAAGAAAATAATAAAAACCAAAACCCTAAATAAACTACACAAGAACGCTGAACTCTATTGGGAGTCATGAACTTGTGTAACCAGTGTGACTTTAAGATGAAACTAAACACATATTTACAGTTTTGCAATTTGAAGTTGAATGTTTCTAAGCCTTGTATCACAGGTATAAGTTATTGTTAGCATCAAAAGCTCTTACTGAAATTTGCACTGTTTACATATTAATTTCAGACCTTCAATAGTTTTCTTGAAATAACTAGTCAGTCTGTTTCGAATGATGCTCTAAGTCCGGGAAAAGAAAAAGAAAGAACAGAGAGCGACGGTATTCATTTGTGTTCAATCTGAATATCTTGACGATCGCTCAGATCTTTTAAACCATTTGTATATTTATTAATTTATCAAAAAAGAAAAATATGTTAGCATTTTTTTTCTTCCTAATACTCATTCTTAAGCAACCTTATAACTTCTAGACCAATATTTACAAATTTATTTCATATTTTCGCTACCCTAAAGATTACAGCAACAGAAAACAACTTATGAAGTTCAACAATAATATCACAATTTACCTTTAGTCATGTGTGATAGTTAGCGGCAGTTTACTACCACCACATTCAATCATTTAATTAAATTTGTCGTTTTCAAGAGGTAAAATACGTTATTTCGAAGAACTCCGGAACTTGTCGATAAAATTAAACATTCACTTTATTAAACATTATTTCGGTTGCTTCATTATTTCAAAGTAGTTGATGAGACGAAACCTAAGCCCAGAGTCAGTATTTAAAACAGTAACGTTTCTAATTCCAATTCCATCAGCATTCACAACCAATAATAAGATTCTCTCCAACACAACTATAACCTTAATTTCGTTTTTGATATTTACTTCTGACGTGAAAGGAGGGAGGCGTTAAGATGAGCGACATAGGTACGCTTGTTTCGGAGGCGCAATGTTGAGCAGTTTCATATTAACAACTGCAATGGATAGTAATTAAACGAGAGACTAAATGATGTGTTACAAATGTCAATACGGATCACATGATGGAATGAATTACAGTAAAAAGGGCGTTAAACATTAAAACATGCCTCCAACCTGCCATAAACATTAACAATTCAATAATTTTCGACATCAAGTCCAACATTAAATATCTGCTATTGTATTTAATAACTTTTGATTGATTCTTACATTTCTTCTATATCTTCATCTACCTATATGTACACTTCTATATGTATACTTTTATATAAACACTAGTGCGTTGCGTTACAGCGTGATTATCTCTAAATCTACTGAATCAATATCGATGAAACTATTGTGCTTTGAAGGCCAGGAGTATTATAAGCTATAATTTACAATCGTAACCCTCAATATATTTACAAATAATTACCTTTCTGAACTTTTTTTCGCCTAACATTACATCACAGATTCAAGGGTGCATCAATGTGCAATAGTTAAGCTGCGCGCCACCAGAGGATGACGACTTGAGATCTACGATTGAGTTCATCAATGCACTGAGTTGCGTATTTATACGTAGAAGAAGATTTTATTTTCACCGTCAATTCTTTAATCCGAAGTGTATCTGAGCTTTTCTCCACTCTATTTAAAAAAGTAATTTGGTTATTGATTTCAATTGCGTCTAGGCGTGAAAGTATTAAGTAAACCAGAGATATGAAATGATTGGAAGAAATCATTTTCTGATGAATATGCTTAATATTCTCGTACAATATGATACATACACGTTCAGTTGTAATAAATTAAGCATGATTATTATGTGTTTACGAAAGTTTTATAATGTGGCAATTCATTGGAAGTTTAGGAATAATATATACATTTCTACAAAAAGAATATACCTTAGTACATGTATTCTATTTTGTTTTGTTGTTTTTTCTTTACTTTCATTTATAAAGTGAATGAAGTTTGGGGGTGGGAACCACAACAGCAAAAAAAACAACAATGTTTTAGTGAGGAAGTGGTTTAGTGAGTGAGGAAGTGGTTTAGTGAGTACGAAAGACCGGGTTTTTCCAAATGGAAGCAAGAAAGAGGAGCAGGGTAGGACGGAGGGGAGATACAATACAATAGAAAGAAGTGGGCTCCACCACAGAAGAATACATGGAATTCCTCTTCCTATCGAATAAATTATTTTGACTATGCCACTCGTGATATTAAAACCAATAGTGTTTAACTAGACATTCACAATTACCCAATCAGGACGGTATATTTATCGCTTTTTTATAGCTATCGTAAGTTTATCGCCTTTTCTATCCAATTTTTCATACCGCTTCTCTCTACTAGCCAACCATAAACTGTATACTAAATCGATCTCTGTGTCGCATGTAAATTTAACATAGCTTTCAGTTATTTTCAATATTTGGCGCTATTTGGAACTCTGTTAAACATAATTTTACTCGTGGAATAGTCCAATTAAATACCACTCGTGCTTTGGAAATTCTCAGATAAATCCTCTCCTCGCTTCGCGAGTCGGGAATTTATCGACAATTTCCAAAGCATTCGTGGTGTTACCTTCGATAAATACCCTGGAAAAGCCGGGTACTTCAGGTAGTATAAGAATAATTCCCCATACAATAATAAATATGAGAATTGATCCTAACAGCAAATCCGTCCAGTACATTTCACGAGGCAGATGTATGAATCATGTGAGATTGCAAACCAAAGGCAAAGATGATTAACTGAACGCCATTTTATCAACAGGGAGACCAAATATTGCTCCCATTAATAACAGAAGGATATTTAAATAGTAATCATTATGAATTGATTTGATATTCTGAATTTCGTCTAGGTCTAAATCCTTTGCATGGTCTTTTTCAAATCAATTTAATTTATATAATTTAGTTTAGATTATTTAATGATGCATTTTGTTCTTTTCATCCCTTTTGATTAATTTAAATTTTAAAAAAATTACGTTTTGAATGAACTTGGAAGCCCTCCTCCTCTAAAAGGGAATGATTTAACTTTTAACTAAGCGCCTCTCTGTTCTTGTTTCAGTGAATTTAAGTTTTTTCAGCAGATACATATTTTATTTTTGTTTTCGTTTATTAGATTTAAATGCAAACATAAAATGTTGAATCGTAAATAAATAAATAATTAAATTTGTTTGAAGAATTGTCACCCAATTAAGGAGGAGCAAACATTCAAAAGATGACATGTCCAGTTGGCAAAAATTCAGCTCTTCCGTTGTTTTTACCTCCATTATTATTTCCAGAAAAAACGTGAGATGTCTTACACTAAATTAAGTAGTACTCTATTCGTTTAATTAAACTCGATGTTGGAAAGTGTAAAATGTTTGCTATATTTTTCGGTTTTATTGAAAAAGATTGAGGTGAACGAGTTACGTTTTGAATGTTTACTCCTTATTTGTTCTCTGAGCAAATTTTATTACTAAAATAATACATTGGTCACTCAGAAACAAGGTCACAGCTTCGATACATACACTGTACCAATAAGGTGACATGGTGGTGACAGTTATTATATACAGGATGCCCGGAGAGGAAACGCCTCAACTTCAAAACAGCTCTTAAGACAATTTTAAGCATATTTTGTCTCATAAACTACTTGGATGTTGGATATGGAAGAAGCAGTCGAATTGTGTAAATTGGGTGTTTTTTATTTCTACGTTAATTTTTAATAACACAGAAACAATACCAATTATATTAATTTATTTTATAAATAATAAACAATTTTCGTGTTTCTCAAGTGTTTCTATGCTTCTGTAATGCAGATTTTTGCCTAGAAAGCATTTTTTGAAATCATTATTGCGGCTCAACCAGTCGGAATATTCCAGTAGTTTATTTTTTTTTAAATGCGCTTAAAATTGTCCTAAGAGCTTATTTGCGAAGTTTCCTCTCCGGACATCCTGTGTATGGGGGGCGTGGTTTCAGTGGCGAGCAGCGGGCGTCAAGGAGCGAGCTACTCACCCTTGAGCTGCGCCGAGCCGGGCTTGCCCTCGGCGTAGGAGAGCGCGCGGCTGAAGTGCTCGTCCACCACGGAGGCGACGTCGCCGGAGTAGTGCGTGAAGACGACGCAGTTGGCGGAGACGTACTGCGCGCGGCTGCCCGCGGCGCCGCCGGCCACGCCCGCACCGCTCGCCGCCCCCGCGCCGCCGCCCGCCTCGTCGTCGTCCTCCTCGTCGTCGTCCACCCCCGCGCCGCCCCCGCCCCCGGCGCACGGCAGGCTGCTGCTGCTGCGCCCGCCGTCTGCCGACACAAACGGAGTGGGTCAGCGGCGCGACAACTGCTGCAAAAGCAATCATTTACAAAATGGCACTACAAAATACACTCCAATTCTTGTAAACATTGATTATACACCCTGAAATGGAAATAAAAATATTAAAAAAAATTGTTTAATTTTGAGAAGATTTCGTTCAGTTCTTACACCTCTGTCACATGTATTGGTGACTTAAAACTAAATTATAACTAGCTACTTACAGTGAATACAATGGTTAAGGAAACATATTAAGACTCATTAGTTTATTCCACTTCGGAGAACAATTTGAAGAATTCATGAAATATGATATTTGTTTTCAATTCTTGTAAAAATAAAAACCTAAAGAGAAATATAGGTTTGCTTTCCTGACCTACATGTATGATTGATTTAATTTGGGCGTAAAATTGTTTGATATCCCCGAGGAAGGAAAATGTTGGATTTTAAAAAATAGTCTTCTTTTTTTCTCTATAACCAACACTTGAGAAATGTTTTGCATTTAAAATCTTAAGAGGTTCATTTAGAAATAATAGTTTTGAGTATTCTACTGAAAGAAATTTCGTGATTTTTGTGTTAAAAGAAAGTGAGTGGCTTCTTGATATTTTATCAATTACTCTTATTTACCGATTTTATAGAATTAACATTAAACTTTCTAGTATCTTAAAATTAATTGAAGGAAATCCAATTTGCCGTCATTTGCTCATTACGTTTAGACTTGAATCGACCTTTTGAAAGGAGTCGTCGTGTAGTGCGAACGCGCGTGAGTGTTTGAGGGATATAAACATAATGTATAGCAGTCGTCTGACACGTGAATTTACAAAAAACGTTTTAAAAGTCCTACCATAACCTATAACATACATGTACTTATCTCCTTAAATATAAAATATTTCAACTATGATTGCAGAAATGCATTTAACTCCGAGTTCAAAGTATATAGTGATTATATTATTCTAAAATTTGTATTTCTTCCTGATATCATTAGTCTTGGAGAATAAGTTCTGAATAGCGTGAAACAATATTTTTGGTGTTTTCGACATTTTATAGTGCAAATATAATACTTTCCCGTTCTAACTTTATTACAGGTCATCTGTGCAATGCATTCACTATGATTCAGCTAGAATCTTACTAAGGGGAAACAATTTATATATTGGACTGCACGGTCTGTCATATCAGAAATTAACTTTTCTTTTCTGAAAATATTCTTAAAGAGCATTCATTCACGAGGTGATGACAACTTTGATTTCCATAATCAAAGACACAGTGGCGAAAGGAGAACCTTCTTCTCTCATATAGTAGAATGTGTCTCGACAGATTCCATGGTTAGTGCGTAACCTGCATCTTATGAAGAACATGGGTGGAAACAATCACTCTTAAACATGAACTATCAACCATCTAGCAACTCACCAATATATTATATCCGATACAGTGTTTTTTCCCTATATTTTAAGAGTTGTCTTTTGATATTTTAACATGTTTTTATAATTTAAGGTCGCATAAACAGTCATTAGCAACTACTATAGATATTAACGATATGGGTAACAGTATGATGTGATATGGTGATGGTGAGAGGTTAAAGGATGAACACAAATACAGCCATGACCGACGCGGGACTCGAATACGCAATCTTTCAGTCCGAGATCGCTACGGCATTACTACCTTAACGATCTCGGCCATCCGAACGCCTTCAGAGTGTTTGTTGGTTTAAATTGTTTTTGAATACTTAAAGCTGGTTGTCGTATTTTAGTTAAGGAGGAAATGATGCTTGTACGTTAAAAAACTGCCTCACATTTTTTGCCTTTATCAGAACAGACGTAATGGTTAAGATGCTACACATTCATTTTTCAAATTTAATGATGACAGTACCGTTTAAGCAGAAGAATCGACAAAATTTACCCAATAAAAGAGCCGCCAGAATTTCATCATGCGGGTAATATGTATTCCGTTTTTTGTAGCCCGAGCAATTTCTTTCTGCGCGCGAATCATGTCATTTTATAGTGGGTAATGATGCTGGTAATTAATGGTGGCTCTTTTTCGAGCTGTGCTTCTGCAGTTTATTCCACGAAAAAAAACTGACGAACTACGGAAAGAGAGAAACCAACCTACATTAGTAAACAATTGGAAGAAACATAGTTTCCTTCGTTTATCAAAAAGGCTTTCGAAGGTAAATCAAATAGTAAAAATACCTAGAACATTTGTCAAATACCTTGTGCGTAAACTTTGTCTTCAAGAATAAGCATTTAACAAAGAAGGAATTTAAACATTAAGTACAAGGAACAGTGAATTTCAATCACATTTGATGTAAAAATTAATGGATCAATTTTGGCACAATTTAATTTCCAAAATAAGCCTCACAGTCGTAATCATAAAAGCTACGTGGTACACCAACCGTTAAGAAGGTAAATAAAGTATTGAAAAAAATATTGGAGATTTTTTGTCTATTTTTTATTTATTCTGTTTTTATCTATTTCTCATCGATTGCCCGTATGTTTTGTATAGAACCAGGTTTTCAATATATTTTTAAGACAATCAAACAGGAATTGTTTTTGTTTTCTTATCTTGAAAATCTACTGAAACATGGTCCTAACAAGCTAAAAGCAAACAAGCCACTCACTACGCCAAAGAAAAATGATGGAAACTTTTCTTTTGGAAGTAACCATAGTCACAAAACACAACAAGAGTATTACTGTCAAAGAGTAAATGATCTTCCAGGGGTGCATCAAACAGATTTTAGACTAACAACAAATAAGTTTGCAAATTTTTATTCTTCCTCGGGTTATTAGACGCACATGCAACCCGCAAAACACATTACACACACGAAACGCTGCGTCCTAGAGCCATAAAGCCAGTTTTTTGGATTCCTGTAAAGTGAATATACTGTAAGCTTGCAGTGAACAAGCGAGTGACAGGACGGTAAACATGCAAGGGGAAATGCAATCAATGTTTCATATTTATTCTTAAATGCTATTTACACTGCACACTTACATCCTAGCTTACGAACTATTTACTTAAGAACTAATTTAAATTTTATTTGTCTTATTTCCTAACTTCCTTTAATTATTTACATGTCCTGATCTAACACCGAACACTATTTACATTGTGCAAATTAAACTTCACGGCTAGAATGTTCTATGCATTTCTGCTTCTCTTGCTTTATATTTAGACACAAGCACATACATGTGCAAACACAAACGGATGTGAACGTGTGGTTCGGGAAGCGAGTAGGGAAAGATGCGGGTTACAGTTGGAGCGAAGAACTGATTGAATATTTAGTTCTTCTGAGGAAACCTACTCCGAAGATTGCGATCAGAATTGTTTAGAAACCATCAATCTGTATAAACTTAAATTGACGCGTTTATAAGCTCGCCATGACGGGCCAACAGTTTAGGCCTGTTTTTAGAATCCAGTATGAAGCTATATTTTCACTTTTAAAATAATAATTTACAAAGTGCGGTTCCCACAGAATCAGCTAGTGAATAAGTAAGAAAATGATATCATTTCCCAAATTAACATGTAAATGGGTGAAAACCAGAACGGTGTAAGTGACATTTTATAGAGAAGAGAAAACTTCTCTATAATATTCAGTATTTTTGCAAAGTCGTGTTTTGTGTCATCTTTAAAACCACGGCATTTTAATTGTTCATTAAAACAACGAAATAAATTGCAACTGAAATATAGCCTAAAATAAACATGTTTTCCCTGAATTTATAAAATTTCACTTATATCGTCCTGAGTTTCACATATTCCTATGTAAACATGACAAGAGTTCATCACTCTAAGGAAAACATTGAAGAGAACACTTTTCTTAGTAACTGGAGCAATACTTTGACATCTCTTTTTGGAAACATTCGAAATACGTAAAATACGTAATAGAAATACTGGGATTTTTTCCAAAGGCAGAGCATATTTATGAGGTGAAACTGCACAGCTGGAAGAAATTTAGTGAAAATGCACGCAACCGAAACTCTTGCTCCACTTGGCGTTACGAAGTGCACGACTACCAGAAAGGAGTTTGAATGTATTGCCTTTCCGTGTTCTTCCACGTGCACAAACACGGATTTAAACACACTAAAATGGTTCTTTATAATACTTTTAACAATATTATTACTAACAGTATATGAATAGTTACCTACAATCTAACATCACGGTATGTTTTTGAGTCGTTTGAGATATTCAACTTCAAACACTCCTGTAAAATGTTACTATTTTCGGAAAAATTACCCAAAACTACTCACATTACAAAAATGAATAACGCATTTGAAGCTTTAAAATTGAGGGATAAATCGCATTGAGGAAGAAATATTAGGCTGGCTTTAATATTAGAAGTGTACCTCAGTTTCGAAAACTGTTTGAACTTTTACAATTTCCAAACTTTCAGAAGTTTTAATGAAAATCGGAACTACTCTTATTTATCAATGTAATTTCCTCTATTTGAGCCAAAACTTTAAAAACAATGCAGACATTTTTCAAAAAACAAATTGAATGTGAGGACACTGAAATGCGTGGGAATGAGACAGTCAGCAAAGAATTTTACAAATTTATCGAACCGTCGCTTTGCAAGAGCCCATCGCCTTATAATACTGGAAACACGCTGTAAGTGAACAACATACATCAACGCAAGCAAGGAACTCCATGAAGTCGAAGGGCATCTGTTTCGAAAGATCATGTAAAAACAGCGTCTCGGAATGTCAGATCGGTTAACAAAGCTTCGTAACATTACTAAAAAATGACGAATAGCCTTCGTACTTGCACGTGCTTTGCTATCCATCATCTTGCGTAAAAAAGCCCCGCAAAACATCGCCCGTTCCTGTTTGTCTCC